TAAAAATAAAAATCCATTGTATAAAGCACAAAACTTTCCCACGAGTGCAAAGTACTGTAAATTCTGCATCCGTTTATGAAAGATAGCATCTGCACCAAGTGGTTCAAGCTAGCGAGTCCGGCAACGGGTCGGGTCACGCACAAAAATGCTCTTTTGCGGGTGAAAAATACATAAATAAAAATAAACGCGTCGGGCGGATATATTTTTTTAGTGCGGGCGGGTAGTTGGTGATTTTTTTTTATGCGTGTGTGTTGTTATGGACATCAGAAATGTTATATTAATCAGGCACTGGGGTCATCCTTGTTGTAGCTTAAAGCCCTGCCGGCAGTGTGGGCTTCCCTCCAAAAAGGCCACATCTGCTGCAGTGTTAATGGCGCTGTTCTGATGTGCAGAAGGAAAATGGAACAAATTAAGGGTAAACTAGCCATTGGGTGCAGCGCAGCGCACTATAGCCTATTAGTTGATGTGTTAACGGGTCGGGTTGCGGGTTAAATATCAACGGGTTGAATTGAAGATATCTGCGGGTGACGGGTCGGGTTCGGTAGTCATCCTAACGGGTTCGGGCAGGTGCGGGTTGGTAAAACTCGACCCGTGCAGGACTCTTCTTCAAGAGACACTGCTCATCAGGTAAGTTAAATCATTTTTACAAGCTACATTTTCAAAGTCCTAAATAACGCAATGAAGATTAAAAACTTTAAAAGATGTTAAAAAGGGAACTACGCTCCTAGCGATGTATTTGTCCTTGGAGTTGGAGTTCCCACAGTATTTGAACGCAACATGGAACAGGAAATCCCTCCAGCGCTACTGCAAGCTGTCAATCTCGTTTCCCCGCCCACTCCCGTCAGATTGGGGTCAAAATCTGAATGGAAAAAAAAAAGTGATTTGAAAGTGATAAAAAAAAAAAGAAATCCTGATACTGAAAAAATAATTTGACAAAACTGCAAGAAATGGATTTGAATCTGAAAATATAAAATGTTAAACTGGAAATAAAGAAAAGAAATAAAAAAAAAATTAAAATACTAATCTGAATTTTTATTAAATTCTTATTTTATGTTTGCTTTTTTAGTTTCTTACATTATAATGTAAAAAAATTGACATTAAATATCAACTTCTATTTTTTTACGTTTCAACTAAGAATTAGAGGTTTACAAAAATGTTGACCCCTTTCTTACTCCATAGGTTATGGTATTAATTTGTATGTTTGTGTTTTTCTTTGTCAAAAAGCAAGAACAAGTATTGACTGTTGTGTGAATGTACTTGTTGCTGTGTATTTCTGAATGAATAACATTAAATAACATGGTATAATATGTTATTTATGTTATTTCCCTATTGTTGGAAGAATCCCAGTAAACCTAGCGGTGTTGAAACTCAATGAGCAAGCCACCTTAGACAAACTGAAAAACAAATGGTGGTACGATAAAGGCGAGTGTGGCAGCAAGGACGCCGCAAGAAAGGTTAGTCTGCAACGCAAATCTGACACCTCACAGCACCTCCCCCCCCCACTTTACTCCTAAACCGGCACCTTTCCCCTCTGCAGTCCATCCCTCAGCCTTTACCAAACACCACATTCCCACTATGTGACGCTCGTTGTACTGGTCTAAATACACTCCTCTTTTTCCACTTTAGGATTTGCTTTAAAAATACACTCAAAGAATTATGCAAAATCAATGCATTAGTCCCTAAAAAAGCAGTTTGATTGATTCAGTTTGAAGCAATCTTTAATCAGCAGGATCCCTTTTTAAAATGCACCAATCAAAATCATTTCAAATCTTTCCACTTCTGAGAGGAATTTGTGCGAAACAGTTTCCCCTCACTTGTTATGCTTTCGCATTGCACAGATCTTACTGCACTTAGACAGTCAAATGTGGCGTACATTATGTTTTTCCAGCTCTGAAAAGGTCATCACTTGAGTGGCTCCTCAAATTATTTCCAAACTATCATTTTAGTGCGACATACACGCCACTTTCTGCATCCCTTGGCCCCCTGTCTAAGGATGTATAAAAACCTTTAAAAATAATCAACCTTTTACTGTAATGGCATGGTTTCACATTATTAGCAAATGTTAGGAAAAGACTGATTTTAGTACACTTAACTAATGTGGAAAAAATAAATACATAAAAGAGGCAATAATAAAATCTGGTGCAGCAAGCAGAGAGAAGTCTAACAGCTCTACAGAATAAAATAAAAAAGAAGCATAATATTTTGATAAAAATGTTGAAACTGAATTTTTGCAGGCATGGTTGTCCTACAGGTCTCAGATCATTTATATCAGTTTATTTTGGGTTTTATGCTTGCATTGCAATATTAATTTACTGGTTTTCTTTTAAGGACTAGTAGCATTCCGATCC